ATGCTTAAACGACCGCAGGGAATTCATGTGATGCTTCTGAGACTTTTGACTATGAAGCACATCCACGTAAGACTGATGCGTAAGTTGCCTCTTAACTACGTATTTTTTTACGCCTTTTGCTTTCTTATCTGCGCCGTCCGTTTTGAGGACACTATACATCTTTGGTTTTAACCCAACATATTCCACGATGGGCTTGCCTGACATTTCATCCTTCATCTTTCCAATTACTTTCTTGTTCTTAGCAGAGTAGAGGGGATGGTCGCGGGGGTAACCCGAGGTGTCGTATTCGTCGAGATCTTCGAGGTAGTCCGCGTAAATGTCGGGGGTTTCTATCCATTATTAGGGAGTCGGTGTCTGTGTAATGGAGGTGGCAGCGGTCGCCGTACTTTGGTTTTAGTTTGTCGTAGTAAAACTCGTACATTAGCAACTTAGACAATTCCAGCACGGTAAAGCCCGTATATACCGGCTTGTTTAGGAAAAGGTTGGCTTTTTTCATGTGTATCACGAAGAAGTTCAGCATATCCACGTAGCGCACAAACCCGGGTTGTGATACGTACCTTTCCGCTTCCTCGCGGGTGTTAGCAATACGTATGCTTACCCGCTTGCGGATGTTTTCCATGGTTTTCCCGAAAACGCTATTGTTCATTAACTTAAAGAGATTCTTTTCGAAGTCATTTTTGGCGGCAGTACGTTTTTGGGTATTAAAGTCGATGTAGGGTTGCATCCATGGTTCTTGGCGAAACTTTAAAGCGCGGTGCACCTTTGTCACGCGCATTCCGTGTCGCACGTAGAATTGCAGGTTGCGATAGTGAACTACGTACTTCTTCTTAGGCATCAAGTTTAGGGTTAGCTTGCGGTAGGGCTTGTAATTGGGGCACAACTTCTTTTGAAGCGGGGATAGCTGCTCGAATGGTATTTCGATTGCTTCCGGGGCAAGTGGGTAATCGTCGTAAAGGGGGTGAAGTTCCGGGGGGTACTCCAGATCTACTTCCAGAATGAAGCCTTTTCGACTGTCGGGTCTTATGCGCATGTAGTACTCTGGTTCGCGCGGCGTTGCCCACTCAAAGTCCCGCACCGGGAGATGTTGGGACATTGCCCAGCCGTAGAGGTTGTTGGCATCCAGGTAAGAAATGTAGGTGTTGGGCTTTTCGGGGTCGTACCCTTCCACCTGGGGATTGTTGGCGCGCGCGTAACGGTGGCTGGGTCCGCAAACACCTCCACGGATTCCGTCTTCCATAAAGCGGTACATTTCGTAGTCGGTTAGGAGATCTAGTTGGGCATCTGTTTTCTTCAGCAGGGCACTCCAAGATAGCCCGGGGGCTGTGTAGAAATTTGCTGGATCTAACCCGTAGTAAGACATAGACATCTTTCGGAAACTTTGAAATACATCTGCTAGTAGGACGACGTCGGAGAGGAGGTAGACGTCGTGGTAATCTCCCAGGTTTCTGCAGGCGCGCTTTTCCCACACCTCCTGCGCGTAGGCATACTCATCATCGGATATCCCCGCTTCATTTAGGGTGCTGTAGAAAGCCTCTTGGGGTGGTAATTGCTGCTCTTCAAACCGTTCCCAAGAATCCATGTATTCGTATGGATACACTCCTTTCCTTTCTGCATCGTACTCGTCGGAAATGGGGGAATCCTCGTTATATTTGGCTAGATTGGCTAAGGAATCCGCCATGAATTGCTGGGAGTCTAGGAATTTCAGCTTGCCAATGGTTACGGACATATACCGTTCTTTGTTATTTGGTATGCACTTTACTTCGTGTCCCTCAACTCCTTGTAAGAGCAGGTGGGAATCGTATTCGCGAAGGTTGTGAAAGAACACAGGAATCTCCATGTTGGGGTCTATCCGATGTCTGCACTTCCAGTGCGCGGCACCTTTATATTCACCGGTAATTTCACAGCAATCCATTACTTTATCCGTGTAGAAGTCTTACTCGAGTGGTTCACCGCAGTGAAAGCAGTGCGTGGAGGGCTTACCGGGCTTTTCCCCGTTTTTCGCATAACGTCCGCATGTAAGGTGTGCTTCTCCTAAGTAAGCTCCATCTTTATCCCACGCTTTCTTTACTCTGCGTCCGAATTTGAGTACTCCGAGGTTGCATACGTGACATTCCTGGGCTGCGTGATAATCTCGCAGGTTTTCTGGGGTTACCTTAGCTTTACGTGGATACAGTCGACGGCGGATTTCTTTCTCCTCTTCCTCCAAGGCATCGAGGAACCTTCGCGCTGCGTTAGGACCCCTGTAAATCACGGGTTCGTCAGCTTCTCCATCACATCTGACTACTACGTATCCGTATGAGCAAATCTCATGCAGTCCTGTCTTTTGTGTGTTACCAGCTTCCTCATACTCTGGAGTAATCAAGGACTCGAAGTCCGCGTAAATTACGTAAGGTACCTTGTTTTCCCGCTTATGATCACTGTATTGCAAGTTCTTACTTTCTGGTAATTGGATTCTTTGAGCTGGTTCTTCAACCCCTCGACAAATCTTGTCGTGCTTCTTTAAGGCTTTCAGATCTTTAAATGGTAATAAGCAGGCGTCACAATAATACCTTTTATGTCCGTCTTTACTGTGTGCTGCAAATAAGCGGCTTAAAGACTTTACCCACGAATAATGCCCTCCGTGGTAGAATAGGTGTACGTGTTCCCCTTCGTTATCTGAAATATAAAGTGGTATAATGGTCTTTTCTCTAACACCGTAGACATTTATCGCTAAGTCATTCCTTTCTTCAAGGTCGGGTATTGCACGTAATTTCATTGGGAAGACTACGTTTGACCAATCTAAGTCGTCACTTGGGTATTTCGAAGTCCTGAACGCGTTTTCCTTAACTGGATATAAAGCGGACCTTACAGCCCACTTAAAGCATTCGTTGTCTTTATTCCGTACGCTGATTATTGCTTTCTTACGCTCTATGAAAGTCGGTAATGGTACGTAGGATCCTCCTCGAATCGGTACGTAGCGAGCAATGCTAAGCGTAGCACCTTTTATCGCTGTTATGGTCCAACCCGAGCCTTCCCTGGTATACTTCGCTAGCGACTCCAACAATGGATTTACTTGTGAGAGCAATCTTTCCTCTAAATACGTCGATTCTAAGACCGTCAAAGTTTTAGTGCGCAACCAAACCGTGGTCTCCGTGTCATCTTTTATCAGATTAACTTCCACAACGACGGAAACCTTTGCAGCACCTAACTCTTCTATCCCACTTTCCACTAATCTTTGTATTCTTCTCAAATTCAATTCCCAATACCTTCGCAAGTCTAATATAGAACTGCCTGGTAATGTATAGGTTGTGAAATTGTATAGCGAGTCCATTGTCTATATATAAGGAATATTTTATAAACACCATATGAGGAAAACCCGCGAAATATCGTCACCCAACAAATACGCGTACTTTGAGACTCAGGGAATCCTGGGGGGGAAATTTCATAGTTTACTAGGTTTTTGGATACTAATTACTGCGCGAATCTGACTTACTCAGGGAAACCTGGGGTTTGGTCAGGTGAAGCAGGACTGGTATCCCCTATACTACTAGCCCCGTATGTGGAGTGGTGGTTGTAAAATATATATTTTTAATACTTAAGATTTTTGGGATGTCCTAATGAATGAGGTATATCTTTAACTCATCAACGTACTTACAGGTAGCTTGTGTTGTTATCAATAGCGCCATATGTCACCATTATCAATCCTTTACTTGCGCAGTCTGTTTTATTGTTGATACAAGAGCAAGAGGATGGACAGCTACCTGCACAGAGCAAAACCATATTATTCCAACCACGCATGTCAAATATTGTAAAGATTTTTATATCAAACGATTACTTCTGACTGCAATCAATAGACGTCATTTTCTGTCTCCTGTCGATTTACATCGATTATTTAAAATTTCTAAAGTTTCTAACCTTATTGCTTTTGGCTGCTCTTCACCATTTTCCATACATTGGTTCACTGGTCAAACACCAAGCGCTCAAGCGAAGCGCCAAGGAACTTTCAAAGGATTATTCAAATTTGAACCTTGCAACCTCGACTGAATCTTATTCACTTGTTGTATTGACGACTCCTAAAAACTCCAGCGTATGCGTCTTAGCCTCGAATCCAGGATTTGCTTGTTTTGTTGTTCTAATTTCTGCTTTTGTTTACGGACCTCAGAAGTGAGGCTAAGCCTGCATACACTGAAGTTTTGAGAGTCGTCAATTCAGCACATACAGACCAACGCAGTCCAAACTAGTTACCGCTAGTCATCATAAGTTTATACTATGATATGTTGCTATATGACTTTAATTTCTTAACTCACTTATGGTTTAAACGTCGAATTTTTCTCATAGTGCCGAAAGATCTAGTAACGCAAATCAGAATTCTAGCAATATAGGTTTTGTTTATTTGCATTGGATTTGGCACATGAGAAATTTGACGTTTGAACTGGGCCTTGGAAAACATTCACATAACGAAATTTTTCTTGTCTCAAATATAATGTTAATTTGAAATACGGAAAATAACAGTTTTGAGATAGGAGTAGGAATATTTACATCTTTTCAATATTGTACAATAAAAAAAAAACGGATACAAAACCTTGTGCAGATACAACAGTAACAAAGAGATCTAGATAACAGATGGTGAGCCAGAAGTTTGTCTTCGCTTGCAAACCCATAGCCTGGAGAAAAAGCTGTGATTACAAAAAAGAACAATCAAATCACAGTCAAACAAAGAAGAAAAAATAGAACAATTTAAGATAAAGTAAGTGGCACCTAAAATCCAACTGGAATTCACGAAATTCAGTAAAATTTTAATTTTGCCTAGAAATAATTTTTTTTTAATGCTCATCTTTTTAAGTGAGAAAGTATTCTAAGCTGTTGTTCTTTTTTAATGGATTTGTTTAGTTACCTTAAGTCTTTTTCGTGATATCGATATTGACTAGTTTCAGCTTTGGAGTGTCTACGTCTTGCCTTTCTTAACAAACAAAGAGGTTCAAATACTTTGGTCAATATTTGCAACTGTTGTCGTGATGTACGAATGAAGATGACGGTCGAACTGGCTGTTAAAGGCTGTTCTACATATAAATGGAAATTGTACTCAGCCTACAAATTACTTGTTTTTCCGGTTACACACTTGATCATATTGACGCATAGTAGGGGATCATGAGTTTATCAATGCTGTGTGGGTATTGTTATTGTAAATTTTTGACTTCGAATTAAAGGAAAGATGCCAAGGCTGCCAAACGTGCCATTTGATAACATCACAATTTTAAACTGAGCAGTCCTCCAAGAACAATTTGAAAACCTTTGACAACCACCATATGGATCGAATACTTTCACGAAGTAACGTGATTGGCTGATATCATTGGCCAACTGAATGCCCAGTGCTGTGCCAGAAAAGGTCCGCATGCCACGCGCGCAGGCTAAGATAACCTCCCCCACAGCCGTTCTTAGTGTCATCACGCTGCTCACATTCCAACACAGGCAGCCCAATCTCTTGTTCTGTGGTGTTGTGTTATTTGAAAGTTAACGGTAATATTTCGTAGTATAGCATGTAAAGTCACAGGGAGCCCAATTTAGATTAAAGTGAATGGTGAAAATAAAAGCGGAAAAACTAAATAATAATAATTTTTTAAATCGAGGTCAAGATAATGGCCTTCGAAATACGAAAGAGTAAAAAAAAATCGATAAATAATGCACTAGGACATTTTTCAAAAACTAGTGTGAGCTGCGTGGGTGTTTCTAATGAAACAGTAATGATAAAAGTGTAAATTTTACACCGTGAAAAGATGAAAAAACTTACCTACGTTTCGCACGCTTGGCCTTCGTCGGAGTAAAAAAAGAAAAAAAGGCTTTTTACTCCGACGAAGGACTAGCGTCCGAAACGTCAGTAAGTTTTTTCATCTTTTCACGTTGTAAAATTTACCCTTTTTATCAATATTGTATTGTATGTGTCTGCAATCCAACATGAATATTGTCTTCTAACCATCAAGGCAGCTGCTTCCATGGTAAATGAAATGTTCTGATCTTTAATTATTCAAAGCGGGCATAGTTAATAATGAACTATGAAGCGAGTTTTTAATTCATCCAAGTAGTTTTAAGGGGAAAAAATTAATCCAGATTTATTGTTACTCAATAACTTTCTAATTTCAATCATACTTTGATTTCTAGTAAACACTTTTCACTGTAGCAGAAGTCAAAGAGGCATCGACTATTTTTGCAATAAAAAAACGCTAAATATTTCCCCATAGTCGACCTATTCGAACCCTATTTGAATATTCATATCCTTCCAGATGACTGCATAGCATTATTTAAAGCCCCGTTTACACTAGCGATTTTTGCGGCGATTTTTGCTGCGATTTTTTCGGCGATTCTGTGAATAATAAATAATGGTAAAAAATTTACTTGTAAAGTTTTATTCAGGATACCAAGATTTTCCTAGACGAATGTCTCTCTTGAAGGATGAGACAAAAGATTTTATATTTCCGAAAATTGCCACAAAAATGGCCGCAAAAATGGCCGCAAAAATGGCCGCAAAAATGGCCAGTGTAAACGGGGCTTAACGGCTCATTAATTATGGATGTGTGTTAGTTTGCCAGAAAAATAGAGGCGCGCGCCCTTCCACCCGCCCTTCCTGTTTACTCATTTGGTTTACCCCCTGCATGTGAGCATGCTCATCAGGGGTAACTTCCCATACCTTAATGAATGCTTATAAGTAAGCAGGAAGGATAATGTACTGTTTATTTTGTAATGCTTCGTAAGTTTTATCTTCGAAATTAACTGAGAATTTACAGCAATGCTATTCGCAGGAACGTTCCTATTATTGGCATTTATAATAATTGGTAAGTTTGTATGTTATGAATGCTTTTTAATCATGTTTACCAACATTGAAATAATATTTTTGTAAAAACGTTTTATTGGCAATTACAGCAATTTTAAAGGCTCGATTACACGGAGCAATTTTCTCTGCAACGTCGTTGCGACACAAGTTGCATGGAGTATTGCAGCGTGTAACCTACAGCTCAATTTTGAAAAATGTTGAGAGACGAGTTGCAGCAATTGAAGCAAAAAGTAGAATTCGTTTCTACTTTTGGCAACGGTTGGGACTCCATGGCACCGTGTAAGGCACTCTTGTCGTTGCGAGAAAAAGTTTCAGAGAACATTTCTCCATATCATCGCGACTTCAGTTTCAAAGATCGACATTTTTCAGCAGTCCTGCTGCCATCAAAACGAAAAACAAAAATGAATAAATATATTTACGAGACAAATTAAGTTTATTCCATCTCTTGGAAGACTATTCCTGTAAACATGCAATTGAAATTTGTTCAAAAAAATCAGTCCTTTTTACATTCTACTCTTCTACACAATTGTGATAGGAAATTGGCCCTATATTTTTCTTCCAATTCAATTTTTGAAGCTAATTCTGCATAATAAAAGGATCGTTCGAACTTCAAGAATTGACGAAAGACGACTTTCGAACGCGGCTTTGATGTGCCGGCTTGTATTTTTTTTCTTTTGTTTCAGTTTAATGTACAGCTGAAGAGTACGTTTGAAGAATCGACTCATTGAAACTCTGTTTTATGGCCATGTTATTATTTTACTTCGATCAATCTGCATCCCTTAAATCTTTTGATATAAATACACCCGAAATGTATAATTCGTCTCGATTCGATATATCATTAGTCGAACATGACTTATTTCGTGTATTAAAGCTCATAAGCTTACAGCACACTACGTATAATACACGTTTGATAATCGTTTTGTAAAGTATCGATGTGTTTACAAGCCCATCTACTATTTTCGATTCACAATAACTTGTTTCTAACTCAAGCGCCTATTTAAAGAAACATGAATAAATCATGTTTATTGCATTGTCAAGGTCGTTATTTGTCATATTGGCAGATTTTAGGGGATTGTTTCTAAACCACTGATTATATATTCAAAAATCTGGTCGCGGGTAACTTACCCCAATCTTCTTTACAGTACTGGAGATGCTCCTAAATGTTATGATTGGGCAAATTCAGCATGCTTTCACAAATCGTCAAAGTAATCGTCGATTCTCCTTCAATCTATTTCTTTTTATCGTTTCTTTTTATCTTTTCTTGTGTTCTCTTTCCTTTTCTTCTCTTCTCTTCTCTTCTCTTCTCTTCTCTTCTCTTCTCTATCTCTTTTTTACCTAAATGACATGAAAAACCCTACTGCTAGCAAAATTTCATTTTCTCCCTGTTTTTACCTCTGATCCCCTACGCTATCAATCCTACGACCTTCTACTACCCTAAAATGTTATTAATTTGCCTGATTATTATTTATCTAATCGCACAGTAAATGGTACTTGTTCCCCTAAGAGGGAAGAATTCAGTTCTGCCATAAACGATCAAGTCCTTGTTGGACCAAGTATTGGTTCAGTTTCGGTACCGTCAGAGTACGTGTGTCAGTGGCAATGCATCCTCACCAGCCATTGCAGCATGTTCAACTATGGACCAAATGGAGAGTGTGAGGTCCTTGACAGTCGATCTCAAAACTTTGTCATTCAAATCAGGACGGGATGGTTCTTTAAGGCACAAATGGTAAGCATCCAAATTAATATCTAAAGTCCGGCTTTCAGAATAAGGTGGCTAGCCTCCCTATAATTTTCGGTAGTTCCAATATAGGACATAGTAATCTATAGCTAATGCAAGCTCGCATAGTGATATCCAACAGGCCATCCGCCCAACTATATATTAAAGTTCATGAGCTTAGGGGATTCAATTTTTATGGAGCTGATGACATATGAGGTTACCATGGTAACACTAAGTCAGCTATAATGAAGGCCATTCCTTTCATTAAAAACATTAAAAACTCAAGATTTCCACGTTGAATTTTTTTAAACCTTTTAAATTGAAAGTACGTTACTTCACCTTTTATTTTACACAATGCTTAGGCATTCGGTACTACAGAATTTCAAATAATGCGAAATCTTGAATTAGCCGAATAAAAACATTCCACAGTACCGAATTTCTAAATATTTTGACAACTGTTTAACCATATTATATGTTTTACAATAGCTTACAAATTTCTCGCGCGCTGATTGGCTGATTTTTATCATCAACAAGAGGAAAGACAGATAAAGCTGTCGTCATCGAGCGTACGCTCTTTCCGTTGGTTGTTTTGATCACTAGAAAAGAAAAGTTTTTATCGTTTTTCTTGTTGTTTTTGTTATTGTAAAAAACAAATTGACTTCAGATTTTTATGTGTCTGTCCTCTTATTGACAATAAATTTTGCTATCACATTGTCAAAGTAGTATGCGGATCCACACAATTAGCAATTTAGCGTCAATAGGAGGACAGAAACATAAAAAACTGATGTCTATTTGTTAAACGATATTTTCGTGACGTCATCAAAATAAAAATTCCTCAAGTTCTGCTTCTGCGCATGCTCGTGCACAGCCTGGCGCGCGCGCGTACAAAAATGATATGGATTATGGGGACGCCCAAGGGTAGAGGGAAGAAGAACTATAAAGGTAATCAGGCTAGTTACTTTTGTTCATTTTCACTTTGATCCCATGTCGACTCCGTTCCACTGACACGAACCATAAACTATATTTTCAGCCTTCTTCCGTCTTCTTCTTCTCCTCCTCCATCTCCTCCTCAGTATTATTATTTTTGTTCACTTTTAATAACTGATGGAATTTCGTGCTATTCTTCAGTGCCATCAAGATGTTTGTCAAAATGGAGGAACATGTTTTTCTACCAGCGAGGGCAACGCCACATGCGTTTGCAAGGAAGGGTTTACAGGAGACAGATGTCAAAACCTCCCTCGTGAGTATTCATGTTTTATATTCATAATGAAAACGATAATGTAAAATACTATATCATATTGCGATATCACTTTGGGGGCTTTTCATTAGGGAAAACTGTATGTATAGTTCATACAGTGTGGACTAACTATATCACCACGCACACGGTAGTCCTGTCCATCACGAGAGCTGCTCTTGCCTTGGGCATTATTAAGGGTCTTTAGACATCCTTGCATGTGACGTCAAAGCAGCTCTATATTTAGAAGACAAAACAAAAGAATGTCAAACTTATGAGAATTGTAAACCTATTGTTTTGTCATCCAAATTGAGCTTCAACTGCTAAGCAGCTACTGGCAATCCAAAGATATAAGCCTCCCGAAACAGGGATCTAAGATGGGGATTCTAATATCGTACCTGTAATATAATTACAGCCTGTTTCGATGGATGGCATCATTTTGAGGGAAAGTGTTACAAGCTTTTCCTGGACCGCGTGGTGATGAGTGTTGCTGAGCAGAATTGTTTTGCCCAAGGAGGTCATCTTGCTTCCATCCACAGCATGCGAGAAAACGAATTCATATACATAACAGTAATAAATAGGATGGCAGGAAAATGGATTGGTTACAATGATATTGCTAGCGAAGGCACCTTCGAATGGACTGACGGTGAGCCTTCAGTCTTTCAATATTGGCATTCGAACGCACCTAACAATAATAACGAGCAGGACTGCGTACTGATGTCTGCTGCGATATAGGATCAGTAGGGCACTGGGATGACGTACAATGTACACTAGAAAAACCATACATCTGTAAAAAGAACAGTAATTAAGAATCAGATTAATAGCCCACTTCCGAGATATACTTTGCTTGTCACACACAAAGGTTTCAGTACGAGGCTACGTGTTAAATTTATTCTTTTCTCTTGTTACTTCACTGAGCATTATGAACTAAGCCTCACACTGAAACCTTTGTATGCAAGAAGTGAAGCATGTCTCGGAAGTGGACTATTAATCTGGGTTCCAGACCGGGCTCTTTCGATCCAGTGGTCCTTGGAAAACTACGACCGAGAAGCACTGGAGCGAGGGAGCATGTAGAACCCAGGCTTAGTTGTTTAAAAAGYTCAATTAGCGCTAATCTAGGATTTAATAGCCTAATCAAAGTTTTTTCCGTTGTTCAAAGCACGATTAATGTTTATCTAGGATTAATTTGTGGTTTTACGAAGTGTCTAAATGACCGGCAGACGGTCACAGAACTCAAATGACTAAATGGCCGGCAGTCGAATTAAAAAAAAAAATCAAGGTTATACAAACTAAATTCCAAACCTAATGCTCCTACCTCGATAAAGAACCGCCAATCGATTGCATTTCTGGTTCTAGAACGAAAAAATCGTGCTTCGTTTGCGGCCGGCATATTTTTCGTCACATATGCACACTGCCGGTCACAGAACTCAAATGACTAAATGGCCGGCAGTCGAATCGTTTTTAGAAACAATTCGACTGCCGGCCATTTAGTCATTTGAGTTCTGTGACCGGCTGCCGGTCATTTAGACACTTCGTTAAATTTAACACACCTAGCGAGGTGGTTTTACTAAACAAAACTTAAACAAATGGCGGGTTTGTTGTCCAATTTTTTCGCACAGCAAAGAAAAGCTTGTAGACATGAGCGTAAAAGCTCTTCCATCGAGGAATACACTGAAATACCAAAACGTGCCGCGACTGACACGGGACCTGGTTTAGTAAATAGAGGCTTTTGACTATCACGTGATGGCAGCCATGACATGACATGGCTGGTCTAATCTGGTCAGTACATGAGAAAGTTACTGCGTCCTGTCATGGCTGCGGCCGTCATATACAGGATTTTCAATACCAGCTTGAGTAAGCGGCAAAGCGTTACAAATAGGCGGAAGCGAGCGAATCTTTCCGCGTTTTTCCTAAATTTTGGGCATTTTAATGAAAATAGGCGGCGAGTTCACGTAAAATATCCGGCGAGATTCGCCGGTTGCCGGCTTCTATTGAAAACTCTACATCATGGAGGTTTATTCCTGCGTCCTAGCAGGCCTCCTATAGGCGTAGTGTACTAATATACTGTCAATCCTGAATCCTAGGCCTAGTATATTATATCTCCAAAACTATATAGGAGTCAAATTGTAACTAGAACGAAGGTATATACATTATTGCGCACATATTTCTGTAGAGAATTAGTTATACATTGACCGACAGCTCACCAGATTTGGTCGGCGGCAGACTCGTACCCAGTCGCTTCTCTTCTCTTATTGATCTCACGCTGTGGTTGATGGGAAAGAGTGAGTTCGCGATGGGAAGGAAGAAAGAGAAAAGCGCCTTTAAAAAGGGTTAGACTGGGTACGAGTCTCAGAGTAGCATTTAAAAATATAATATACATCCCAGTTTCCCGTTTTCATGGTGTCTCGCACTGACAACAGTGACGCAGGGACTAATGTTAAAGAAAGATGGCGGAAACTCAAAGAAAAGAAGTTATTATTAAAATGAAGTAAACATTTTATCGACAGCTAAACTAGAAGACATTTTCAAACCAAAACTTAAAAAAGAAAAGCAAATTAAAAACAAATTAAAATATGGGTTTCCTGTGACATGTAAGGTCAAAGGAAACTGGGCTCTACAAAGAATTTGGCGGGAAACTTGACACGTGATATCGAATTCAAGATGGCGGATGTAGAAGACATGGAAACAGAGACAATGATTCCCGAAAAGAAGAGTAAAATATCTTCCAAATCTTCTGATATGGAGGTGGATTCTGATAAGGCTAAGGATAATACCGCCGGACCTATTCGAAAGAAGCCTTCAAAAGGTTTTGAATTACCTTGGTAAGCTCTTAAAGATGTTGAAAAATACTTGCTGAAGCAATGTTTTCAGTCTTGATCGTATTTTTGTCAAAAGTATTTCCATTAATTTTATTCAACTTCAATAGCAAAACCAACTAGCTTGTTCTTTAATAGCATCATTCCATTTGTTTCACTAGGGTAGAGAGGTATCGCCCCACCAAAATGAATGAAATCGTTGGGAATGAAGAAACTGTCAGCAGATTGCAGGTACTGTAACCTTTATCATAATGGTACAAATGTACTAATTAAAAGTATATGTATTTCCAATTTATTTGTTGTAACAGTCTTTGTATATCTGCCTTATTGCCTTTTCCCTTAATATGGGAGCTCTGAGCAGATTATATTTAAATATTATTATGGCATCAGCAGATTTTCTTGGGTTAAATATAAGCTAGCTAACATGTGGTGACATAGATTGGTAACCATTGATTGCTAACTTAGCTTCAAATATCAATGTCAATCGATTATTGAATGTTCAATTACATATCAATTTTTCAATCTTTATCAATTGATATTGATTGATATCAATTTTAATTGATCATTGATTTTATTGATTGAAGTCCTTGGTGTCAGCCCTAAGTGCCACGCAGGCATAGTGGATAATTATGAATGATGATGATTTTATTGATTGCTTACACCAAGATCTTGTGCAATCCCTGATATAAACATGGTACACAGCCAGTGGCATGTGTTATTAATATCAATTATTATAACAGTCTGTATTCATTTATTTATTAGGTTTTTGCCCAGCAAGGAAATGTACCTAACATTATCATTGCTGTAAGTATCTTTTTTCAATCTTATCACACTGAATTTCTACACTTTCTATTATTTTTGGGAAGCATGGGTGGCGTAGCAGTGAGAGCACTCGCCTCTCATCAATGCGACCTGGGTTCGAGTCCCGACGAGCTCGGTGTTGTATGTGAGTTGAGTTGGTTCTCTCCTGTGCTTTTAGGGTTCTCCAGGTTCTCCAGCTTTCCTCCTTCCGTGAAAACCAACTACAAAATTCTAATTCGATCCTAGGAGATATACACGATAGAGCTAACCTCAATATCTCCTTTCACACTTACTGATGCAAATAGATTAGTGTTTTTTTATAATATACATATAATTTATACACTGCACACTGCTTTTGAGTGGCATACCATGAAATATTCCATGAGTCACTTGCATTTTCCAGTACACACAAGCCTTCAGGCACATGTGGCAACCAGAAAATTTTATAATTTAAAAAATCAATTTATCTTAAGATATCACAGAGTTTTTATCATGTTTTGAAATAATAGTAGAAGACCATAAACTATGTAGGCAGAAAGTCCTGGCAGGGTTTCCATTGAGTTTTGAATTAATAGGAGAAGATTATGGCTAGTTTAAGTTGAGAAATTTTGCTCAATTACCAGTGGATTCTTTGTTCCCAGAGCCTTAATGAAAACCCTGGTATCATAATAATTATTAATGCTATCAATATTGTCAGGGTCCGCCTGGCTCGGGCAAAACAACAAGTATATTATGTTTAGCAAGAGCTTTGCTTGGCACTTCATTTAAAGATGCTGTACTGGAACTTAATGCCTCTAATGACAGGTAAGAGTTAATACAGATAGATTTATAAATTTTTGTAAAGGTCTAAGTATAGCTTTTGCAGCATGGTGCAAGATAAAAGCGTTCCAGAACCCGTTTATCATGTCTTTCGGTAGAAATACCTAAAGAAATATTTGTGCCGTGTGCAGTTTTCAAGTATTGTAATTTATGTTCAGGGGTATTGATGTAGTAAGAAACAAGATCAAAATGTTTGCACAACAAAAAGTTACTCTACCTAAAGGAAGACACAAGATCATTATCCTTGATGAAGCAGACAGGTGAGCCCAGTTTCAGAGCTAAGAAATCCTTTTTTCCCAGATACAATACACTTTTCCCAAATTCGCTTGAGTGACTTGCAAAACAATGACTCCAAACCAAAGTTAGACTTGATAAAATACAATAAATGTACTGTCAGTATGAACACATCAAGACAGTCCAACCTTGACTTGAAGCCGTCACTTATAGTAGCTAGCTTTTTTGTCTTTTAAAGATAAGTAGAGTAAGTGTACATGTATGACTGTTCATTTGTTTTATGCTATATTACCCAAAAATTACAAGTTAGAGCCCTCAACACAGTAAATTAATAAACTGCTTATTTGTTTTTGTTATAAAGTAAAATATCATCAATTGTAAACTGTCATCTGGAATACCATATATCTTGTTTGTTGTTGTTTTTAAGTATGACTGATGGAGCTCAACAAGCACTTAGAAGAACAATGGAGATTTACTCCAAGACTACAAGATTTGCCCTGGCTTGTAATACCTCAGAAAAAATCATAGGTAAGCCAATGTAAGCTTCTACCCAGTCACTTCTTTTACTTGCGCTGTTGTTGATGGGAAGGATTTAGTGAGTTTGCAGTGTATCAGGGAAGGAAGTAAGAGCCAAAAGCTTTTTTAGGCATTTCTAGTCTTCCCATTTTCCATTGAGAGTAGAAAAAATGAAACTTTGATGACTAGGTATGAATGTGGGAGAATACACTACTATTGACCTTTATCCTACACCCCATTAAAAATATCAATCAAAATGCAGGAAAGGTGTCATTTATTTAGTAGTATTCCATCGTTTCTTCCCATCATACATTGCAGTCTAGGCATATTTTCAATGTGTGGTGGTGGGTACTAATCTCTCACCAACACACTATTCACGTGTGAGTAGAGTTACTGTACATCATTCGTGTTTCTCTCCTGTGCTTTAAGAATGTGCATAAGCCCAATAGTGTGTTGCATTTGTCATAACAAATTCCTAACTTTTCTCATGGTTTCTATTCTAGAGGCCATTCAATCTAGGTGTGCTATATTACGTTATACCAAGCTAACAGACAGTCAGGTGCTAACCAGATTACTAGAAATATGTGACAAAGAAGAGGTAATAATTGTTTTATATTGCTAATGACCATCTTATTACTAAATTTTGCTTTTATTCTGGGTGGCATAGTGGTGGGAACACTAGCCTTCCTCCATGGTGACCCAGGTTCAATTCCTGAATTGAGTCATATGCGATTAGAGTATAGAATAGATGTTTGTTTTGCAGTAAGTATGGGAAGGAAATTTCTGGGGGGGGGGGGGGCAACCAATGAAGGGTGTCCACTTAATAAGGGGTCTGCTGATAGGCAACACTTAATACTGTAATATTTGATTGTATGATTTGATGCAGGTTCCTAAAACAGATGATGGACTAGAGGCAATCATATTCACAGCTCAGGGTGACATGAGACAGGTAGATATACATGTATTGTACCTTCTGTCATATATACTGTACCATAGCTAAAATACATAATGAAACATTAAAAAGGAAAGACTGGAATTTTGAAAATCCTATGAAATGTAGTCTCCATCCTAGCTGTTGTTAGTGTCACTCGCTTAGTGGTTAAAGACAGCTGAGAGGAAGACTATGAAATGTAGACTAGACTTTCACAAAGTTTGCTGCTCTCTGTGTATCTTTACTCGCACAAAACTCCATCGTTTGCATGGATAAAAACTTAGTGCTTGAGACAAAAGGACTTGGGGCAGCAAATTTTATTTTATAAACTTCGCCACAAGGGCAGGGAAACCAAATCTATTAGCCATTCCTAGTTTGAGGAAAAGATTGCATTGAGTTGATATTGCAGTGCATTATGTGAGTGCTTTGGGGGACATTTCTGAGACGGCATCTATTTCGTCCCCTAAACAGTCTCACAATGCACAGCTAATGTGAGTGACTCAACCATGTCTTTTGCTCAATCTCAGAATGGAAGTTCATGTGGAACGGAACCATTTTGGATTGTCTTTTTTTCCTTGTGTTTCAGGCTATCAACAATCTACAGTCAACATTCTATGGTTTTGGTGTAATAAACAGTGATAATGTATTCAAGGTTGGTTTGATATTGTATTTACAATGAACCCTTGATTCTTTGCTTCCAGTATTTGTTATTTTGAAGTAAACTGGAAGCACGGGTTGAGTAGTGGTGAGAATGCTAGCCTTTCATCAAATATAAGTTGTTTGTTTTCCTTAATAGACCATTTCACAGATCCCGCAGCTCAACCTCAGCCTCGTCAACGTGTAATATATTCTTTAGGAATTGCCTACAACCTGTGAAATTTTTAAGTGTTTCAATTGTTCGTTGATGTGTAAATTCCTTTCATTACTGCAGACTGTAGTCTAATTCTAAAGAATAATTACACACTGACAAGGCTGAGGTTGAGTAACTGGATCCATGAAATGGCCTATTCTTCGAGAATTATTGGTATTATGGGTGGCGTATGCTGCTAACGCGACGTCTTTCACCGCTATGAGTCCAGTAGGTCAGGTCGCTGATTCGAGCCCTGCGGTCGTCACATTTGAATTGAGTTTCTTTGATGTGTTGTTTTTCTCTGGGTTCTCCGGTTTCCTCCCTCCGTAAAAATCAACATGTGAGTTAAACGCTGTGTGCATAGAACATGAATGTAGTGGTAGTGTGTGTGTGTGAAAAAGTGTAGCTTGGGAGTAACACTTTCCCATTTCAAACTACATGTCATTACCTGGAGTATCATTTCTTTGTTTAACGGTTGCACACGAGAAGACACATGAATAGAGACACAACTCAAACAAAAAAACTTAAGAGAATGACACGTGGTCTGAAATTGAAAAGCATTACACCCAAGCTGAAGAGAGTAATAGAACCACTAGACACTTAAATAAAGATATATTTTACAAAGGGATTATATGTTTCTATACACTTATGATGACGTTACATATCTTAGTATCTAGACCACCCTTCCCTTGTTTGAATGTAAAAGGATCTTAAATTGTTCCCAGGTCTGTGATGAGCCTCACCCTCTCCTCATCAAAGAAATGTTAAAGTCTTGTTCGAATGGCGACATAGACGAGGCCTACAAGACGTTGTCTCATCTCTGGAACATGGGCTACTCACCCCAAGATATCATAGCCAACATCTTCCGTGTCTGCAAGACCATGCAGTTGGCTGAGTACGTAAAACTGGAGTTTATAAAGGTATGAAGACAATTTAACATTCAAAACAGAAGGTCGCCTGTTGAAATCCCACCTGGAGCTCGGACTTTTTTCCAAGGAAAATTTGCTAAATGAAAAAACATTCACATCTTTGACAACTTTCTAGGTTACAAAAACGACTTATTTAAGTCGTCCATTCACACTTGCAGTAAAATCCCGATAACAGACCTAATCGGCTAACGTGTTGCTATAAACGTTTCCACCCAATTCAAACCACATGGGACTAAGTTTTATTGTTTGTTATATTTTGTTCGTTATATTTTGGTTTCACAGTTGAATTCGTAGAGACAAACGCTTCAATTCCCAGAAGGTTTGAATTGGGTGGTAACGTACATAGCAACACGTTAGCCGATTAGGTCTATTCAATAATAACGTTCAAGGGGCATACAGAAAGGTTCGAGTTATCTGGAGATAGGAACAAATGACTGGAAATTATGGGAAAAAACGGTGTTTTGTTTAAGAACATGCGTAATAGGTAAATTACGAGCCTTACGAGGGCCAATGGGCCTTTCACAACTTCAAGTCGGTTAAAAAATGAGCCAGCTCAACTAGAAACCGTGGACAGCTGTTTCGGCTTGTATTACATGCTTCATATCTATTCGTACGATGTGCAATCAGGTTTATTACGGAGAAAGGTTGAAAAAAGGAGCAATATTCTTGGAGTGCAACCATATGATTCAAAATCCTGTGATATATAAACAACAATGAAACAGCCGCTATAGTTTTTTTGTTGATCTAACAAGAGAAGCTAATGAGGAATGCTTTGTTTTTGTTACTAACATGGTGGTTATGACGTAACATGCACCGCCCTAGAAATATGGAGAAGAAAGTCTGGTTGCTTACTATCAATCACGTGACGTTTTGGAGTTGACTGGGGTGCAAACAAGCTGTTGACTGGGGGGGCAACTAGCGGATGCTAAGTCAAAACATATCAAAATAAGTCCTCAAACTATTGTATTTGACTATTTTCCCGACATCAAACCAGAAAACAAGAGATCAAAACAACCTCCAGGATTCTACAAGCCATCAAAAAAGAGCTATTACCGGAAGTGACGTCTATTGATAGCAACCTATTGTATCTCCTCCATCATTGACCTTTAAAAACATAATAATGACGAGTGTTGGCTAGGCCTTGATTTAACTCAGTTTTCAAGGGTTCTTGTCCGCAAAACCTAACACGCGGTTAAATCCCAATCCAACAATACATTAGCCGTCTCCTGACTAGAGAATGTTTCAGAGTATCGATTAAGAGCAATTTCGTACGACGGAAATGTTTAATTCAAAATATTCGTAAATAGACGAGTATTTTCATGTATTTTTTCATGTTAATAATTTTTCGTGTATTTTTTTTCCATGCATATTTTCGTGTATTTTTTTTTTTTTTGCTAATGGTATAGGTAACGAACACATATATATTACAATCCAAAAAATTTTGAAATCCTTGGACTTTGAATTACCCGGAAAATTGTCCAGAAACATGCGCATACATTGCCATTTTTTGCCTACCATCCATCACATCTTTATTATGGAAAAGAGTCCTAGTACTTTGAACTTCCAGGAAATTGGATACTTGGACATATGCGCATACTTTAGCACTTTTACCTACCAACGATTCCAACCCCCCACCCCCACCCCTCAAAAAGAACCTCTGGATTTTGGAAAATGTTTAGAATCCTAGTTCCTTGAACATTTAAATACTGGATACACGCGAAACAATGCGCATGCATTGCCTCTGGTTCGTGGGAAAAGTCTTAAATCCTAGTGCTTTGAACTTTCAGGAAATTGGATACACGCACATGCGTATTGTCGAAGGTGTGGACTCGCTGTTGCAGATGTCAGGACTGCTTGCTCGACTGTGTAAAAAGGTAGACGCTTAACACTTCTACGGATAACAGACAAAGACATAAAAGACATAACACTCCAGAGGGCACTCGGGGATGAGGTAAAATATACTGTTGCTTACTCGGTCATAGGCTTGAAATGCTCGATACTGGGTCAAACGAAAAAATCTCAGTTGCATGGCACTTTTACAATAAACAGAATGGAAAGCAGGAGAGGACATTTTTTAATGCAACATGGATAGGGAGGGGAAGTGGGGTGGGGGCAGATTTCGTGTATGGGTTACAAAGCCAATAGTCCCCTTCACAGTTCCCTGCGCCATCTTGAAAGGTAGCCGTTCTTTTGTTAGGCGAGACGAACGGTGAGCTTGCAATGATAGAGACATGTGAACAATTGTCCAAGGTGTTAAAAAAGGTCTCTATCATTGCAAGCTCACCGTTCGTCTCGCTTCGATGCAAAGGCATGACTACTTTTCAAGATGACACAGGGAACTGTGAAGGGGACTATTCTACCGTCTTCCCTCTCGGAGACCCCTACGTTGTATAGCATATCTTGAAACAGGTAATAATCTACTAAAAGTTTTCTCAGGTTTGAGACGATTTCAGTATACTTCTGGATGTGAATGAGTATCGGGTAACCCCACCCCTCCCCCCACCCCACCCCTACTAAATCGGGTCCCATGATGAGGGTGACAGTGACAATGGTTTTGACCTCATCCCCTACATTGTAAGGCAGCAAATCTACCAACTGTATATTTAAAAAGGAGATTAAACAAATAAACTGTAAAGAGCTTCTTTTTAGATTCGATATAAATAGTCCCCTTCACAGTTCCCTGCGCCATTTTGAAAGGTAGCCATGCCTTTGCATCGAAGCGAGACGAACGGTGAATAATACATGTGAATAATTGTCCAAGGTGTTAAAAAAAGGTCTCTATCATTGCAAGCTCACCGTTCGTCTCTTCGGAGCAAAGGCACGGCTACCTTTTAAGATGGCGGAGGGAACTGTTAAAGCCGGAGACTATTCGATATAATTATGGCCCGCAATAATGGTTTTATAAAATGGTCTTATATAATGTAATGTTCGGCATGCATGGACACTTGATTTTTGTTGTAAATACGGCTTACTTCAAAACACTGCTCATAAATGTATATCGTGAACATCTGTTAGTACTTCATGTAAGACTACATAAAAATGACATTATTGGATTATTAATTATCGTTTATTGATTATAACGTCCTTAAACCCAAACCCAACCTTAAACTTCATTACGGAATAGTGCCATTTCATGTAGTCTTGCATGAAACTAAAAAGACAAATGTCGTCAACAGCCCCATAATTCAGCGCGCGCCCTACTCGTTACCAGTTTTCCGCGCAAGCTCTGTAAGGTTAATATTGCCCACAGGCAGCCCAAACAAGGTTCCTGTGTATGGTTTATAAGGGAATGTATGGGAGTTATGATAAAGTTACGAAAATAAAATGTTTCACTCAACAATTTGCTTCCAAACTTGTTTCAGTCGTTGCTTTTACTTTGTTCAGTCTTCTGGCGAAGTTTCAGCGCGATTTGAGGCTGTTCAGTGTTGTTTTTTTTTTCAAAATCCGCTCTTCTCTACCTAAATAATGGTGAAACATTTTATTTTCGTAACTTTATCATAACTCCCATACATTCCCTTATAAACCATACACAGGAACCTTGTTGGGGCTGCCTGTGTATTGCCCAGTATTGTTGCATCTGCTGATTCCTTTATGTCTGAGTTTCTTGAGCGTCACTAGTCAAGTGTTTGTGTTAATTTGAAGCCATTATTCATGAAACAACTTGATGAAGCAAGTCAAGTGAAATATAGGCCCATTCTATTGACCTTTGTTGCGATATTATCTAGTCATAGCTAATTAACTATGATCTAGTAAAAATATCACTCAAGCTGATACATGTATATATTATAGAACAGAAGATATTTCGCTTGCCTGCTGCTCGCTTTAGAGCCTTTCTTTTTTAGCCAACAAATATAGTATACCCTCTAGATAATATTTCAATACACGCTAAACCAATGTGTTAAACAGCCTATTGTTGTATTGAGTTATTGTGAGGCTTTTGCTAGCAATGTTGTTTTCTGCTTCAGCAACATTGCATGCAACAAATTGCGTTTGATTGCCAGCAACTTTGCGAGAGGTTATTTCAGGGCTCGATAAAATTTGAATGTTAAAAGATGTTCATTTATGGCGAAATTGCTGTCAATATTGAACTCACTTGTGGCTCCTTTCCGCTCGAAACCGCTGTTTTACGTCAGTCTAGATATTTCTTGGTTGTTTCTGGGGAAAAACCTTGCCTATTCTTGTCCTATTGTTTGCTTTTCTTTGTGAATCTAATACGGTATAGTCCATCGCCAGATGTTATCGAGTTTTGTCTGTTTAGAGTCTGTTATACAAGAGCAAGTTCGATGCTATTATTAAATTCAGGTTATTTTATTTAGTTTTCTTTGGGTGAATGAATTTTACCTTAATGTTTTGATGATGATGATGATGATAATAAAATGATGATGATGACGATGATAACGATTATAATAATGATGATGATGATAATGAAGACGACGATAATGATGATGATAATGATAATAATAACTGGTATGATTATAATGATGATAACGATAATAATAACTGGTATGATAATAATAATAATAACAATAATGGTGATGATGATAATGACGACGACGATAATGATGATGATGATAACGATAATAATAACTGGTATGATTATA